CTGGAAGACTATACACAATGTAATTTTGGACAACAAAAGTTTATTTCACAGTTTATTCAACAAATAAATACAGAAAATATGTCCCATAGAGTAAAATAATTTTTATTTTCTGCTGAAAATTGTAGTTGTAAAAACAATATCCTGAGCTATAAGTGGGATTGAGATGCTCAGAGGAGTTTTCGTTTTTATTGAAGAAGGTAAATCGTCGACGTTCCCTGACATCAAAAGCCTGAAATCCGCCTTTTGTTCTCACCGCGGAGCTGGCCGTGGTTCTGAAACGTCTCGTCTCCGCTCGGGCCACAACGACGCGGCTTGATTAAATTGTCAATCAGAGCCGGATGGGAGAAAAGAAAGAAAAATGTCCCGAGTTGTTTCTATAAAATGTCATTTCAGACGACGCGCGGGCAGAAAACACGCCCTCTTTGAGATTTCGGCAGCATGTAAACAATGAGCCCACATGACAGCGGGCACCGCGCATGCGCACAACCCGCCACTTCAAAGGAGTCACGATCTGCTCCGGTAACATGGATGGAGATTAAACACAAATCTCTCTGTGGAATCCACGTCGTTTATATTAGATTTTTTTTTAAAGCTAAAGCTTCCGTCTCGGAACATTAAATTGATCAGAGACGAAATTCAGAAACGTGATTTGTGTCGTTTTTTCCCACGTTTATAACCAACAACGACATCTGGTGACAAACACACGATGACGCCAGAAGGAGCGTTAATATTCATGTCCAACACAGGAGAGGAAAAACAAGCTGTCTGCAGGATTTCAATGGGATTTTACCGAATGATGCATCCATTCTGAGCCAAAATAAAATAAAATACTAAAACAAAACAAAAATGTTGCATTAAAAACTCTCAGAACTGACGAGGACTAACTAAAAGTAGAACATGGATTAAATTAGGGATTTAATTCCTGCTGCAGCTGATCATATATACGATTTTTTAAAAGCCGTATTACAAAGAAAAAGCAGATGAATAAAACTCAACTGATCTAAGATGATTAAATATATGAAAATGAAATGATTTATCTCAGAAATAATTTAGATTTTATGTGATTGGTTTATAATAGCCACCTAAAGTTATGTTAAATAGGTGTTTGCATCTTTTAAGTTTAACCATTTCGAAAAATAAGGATTACTTAAATAAAGCCAGTATTCTGGTGAAAAAAACACGTTGGGCAAAGTTTCCATATTAGATTTTTCCTGATTCCTAGTGATCATGTTATCCGCTGAGGATGATTTTAGGATACCACACCACATCTTTAGTTCAATATTTGCAAAAAGGACTAAAATGCACACAAGACAGTTGCAGTTATCACTAACCTTCCATGCGGTGCCGAGGCAGCCGGTGTCGACGTGACTCGGCTTCCAAGTGTGCAGGTAAAAACTCGTGGTTCCTCCTTCAACTCCTCTACCATCAACTCAAAATAAACATTCATTTTGTTGACGTGTTTCTGTTGTGTTGCCGTGAAAAAGAACGTCTCACAGCTCCGTCAGCAGGACCGAATGTCTTGCGTCTTGTGAATTATGAACCAGGCTTGAGATTACAATTGAACAAACAGAGCACATACAAATACATTATCAAAAACGAGACAAACTCTCTCTTTCACTCAAAACTCTGTGGAGTCTCCAACTAAAGATTTGCCCCGTTCATGTTTACACTCCCATTTCTCCAAATTGAGAATATCAAAAATGCTATCTGCAACAGGTAAGATATTTATAGCTCCACCGGAATTATTATAAACTTCAAAGCAAACGTCTGGCTGTATTTTGCAAATAAACCACTAGAAAACCAACATTATTACTTTTCATACTAATCAAACTTTATTTGCTTAAAAAAAAACACATTTAAAACTTTAAGAAGACATAAACCTGTGAGAACTCTCCTGTCAAACAGAAAACAAAAAGAGACATCTTCCATTTTTATTTCATCCTAATTTGTTATCAATTGTTTTGCTTTTCTCCACATGGTGACACTTTTCCTGTGGAATTTTTTAAAATCTTTTCAGAAGTATATAAATAAAAAACCCCGCGGCTTACTCAGCTGCCGCGGCGCTCAGCATTCATAACAAACCATGAAGAGGGAGCAGAATTCAAAGACCTCTCCTTCCCTGCCTACCTCCACCTGCAGCACCTCCACCACCATCATCAGGCTAACATGTGGGGGAGCCTCTCCATCACATCAGACACATCAAAGTGGCTCCAGATCCCTGAGGAGGAGAACAGGATGGAAGGAGGGGAGGGGATGTGACAGGAAGACACGTTAAAATTCAAGAAAAGCAGATTTGTGCAAATGTAACCTGCAGGAAATCTCAGTTATGCAAGCGAATAAGCTTCCTGATGTGGGGGGG